ACACACACACACACACACACACACACACACACACACACACACAGGATTATAACACAGAACGTTCAGGGTTTTCTCTTTCGGTGCGTTTGTTGGAGATGTGTGCAGACACACCTGCAGACCTCTGGGCTCAGACTCCTCTGCAGAGCTGCCCCACAGCCGGGAGCAGGAGCAGCAGATGGACCTCCCCCTGGGGAACACGCGGACACTGTGTGTGAGTCTGTGCTGCGCTGGATCACGTTTCCATCAATCAATATGTAATTTGATGGTTACACAGAGAGAGCTTCAAATCCTTTCAGCTGGGTAATTATAGCTGATTTGGACTCTTCATGTGCAACAATACTTCCCCAGACTTAAAAAAAGCAGGAGTGCAAATCACCCGCTGTCTTTTTACATTATTGTTTGTTTAGAAACGATGGAKTTGTAGTCGTTTTGCTTAAATCTTTAGACGGCACGCTCAGAGTATGTGTTTGGAATGACTCTCAGCTACTACCAAATCAAATGTTAGCTCAGTATCTGTAAAAMCAGTGTTGTATAAAGTATCTCAAAGTCATACTTGAGTRAAAGTACAAGTATCTTATCATAAAAATACTTTGGTAAAARTTAAAGTCTTCTTTRAAAATATTACTTAAGTAAAAGTCGTAAAGTATCTTATATTTTTTGTACTTATCAAAAGTACATACTGACACAAAATCTACCTAAGTATTAAAAGTAAAAGTACTGAGTAAAAGTGAGCAGTTAGATTTTCCAAAATGCCATTTAYTGGAAGGTGACTTCACCAAAAAATATTTTTTCTAACAGCGTGCAGCTGTGATGGACTGTGTACAAAGCTATACGGTTTCAGAGTGGTATATATTTATACTTCTCATTCGACCACAATTTAATGCACTCTATCCAGGAGACACAATTTATTAGAATAAAATAGGAGTAACGACTTTCTACTCCTTACCTTTTTAAAAAATGTAAGGTGTAGAAAGTACAGATAACTGTGTACAAATGTAATGAGTAAAAGTAAAAAGTAGGCTGAAAAATAATTACTCAAGTAAAATACAGATAACCAAAATTTCTACTTAAGTACAGTAACAAAGTATTTGTACTTAGTTACTTTACAATTCGGTGTAAAACTGACTGAATAATTAGTTGTGTTTTCTAAAAGGAGTTACTTGTGGTGACAATTTGGATTTGTTCAAAAAGTTATAACCATTTATTAATTTCTGGGAGGTTTTTTTTAATCCACCTTGCATTTCATATGATATTTTGCTAACAGACACATGACTGCACAAGCACAAAGTACCATGATGTACATTTAAAGTGACGGTAACGTTCATTCAAATGAGTCAGTCATTCCTAAAATAAGCACATTGCAGCAAAAGCTTAGTTTCATTTTTATTTGCCATTTGCATCTCTGAACTAATTTCGTGAAGTTATTGATCCTCGGTTAGTGCTTGCAGCTGCAGAGGTCCATTTACAATCCATTAGTCTACATTTGCTAAGATGGTGATGATTTGCTCACATTCTTAATGCCCAAGGACGATCGATACTAACAAGAAAAGGTAGGAGCTTCAGGAAAAGCACTTTACTCAGTTCAGAAGAACTTAAAAGTCAATTTTTTGTGTGTTTGGAGAGATGTAACAATTGTTTTCTTACTTGGAGAAGTGGCAGTGTGTGTGGAAACACTTTAAACACTGATGACAGAGAGCCAGGTCTCTTCCGCTGAGGTGACAAACGCCACACACTTCCCTCACACCGGCCAGCTCTCCTCCTGAACACTGGGAACCCAGCTTGGAGCAAACAAGATGACTTTTACGAAAACACTCAAATGCATTGCTAATGGAAAGAGATTAGGAGCTGAAAAGGGGGAGAAATTTTAAAGAAAAACATGAAGTCTTCACCTGATTTCTACCACTTGATACATTGACCGAGGCTGAAACGCTTGTGACGGAGGATGTTAGGGTGGAGTATAATGAGCTGTCTRTCACTGAGATACTGGATTTTGTGTTTGTTTGCTGAGGCTGAGCTGGGAAAGTCTGAACACAATAATTTGGCATTAAAAAAAACAAAACATTTTCAAAAGAAGCTTATAATTTCAAGGAAATGCTGAAATGCTGCTATGATCYGTGATGTTGCATCATAAATTTAATTGAAAGCCTCTCATTTAGACACATTAAAAAAGATTAGGTGAATTATTAACTCCTCTGATCAATGCAGCCTGTATCTTATTGTGTTCAAATTAYAAGCTTCAGGGATGTACCTGTAAGGGAAGTAGGACGCTCTCTCTTTTCACCCTGTGCCCCCTGCACCACTCACACTGCCAAGAACCACTGCAGATTGAAAACAAAACAAAACAACTGTGATGCATTGAAGKCTAGTGCCTCCATAAGCTCATAAAAACACGCATTAAAGCATCAAAAGGTGCACATCATGTTTAAACCTGGGAATGGAGCAGAGCGGAGGGCTGAGGCAGGACAGGTGAAAGGCTCGAGGACATCCATCACAACAAATCAGCTCTCCTCCATCTTTACACACCGCACACTCGTCATCATTACAGTGAGACTACAAACACACGCATATTCTTGTAATTTTATTAAAAAGACATTTTTAATTTCGCATACATTTTTTTTAAAATGAGCTTCATGTAGAGTGTGGAGCTCTGACTGCAGTTACCATGGTTGTGGTGGGCTCCCCCTGGTGGTGAAATGTGCTCKTTGCAGGCTTGGGCTTCTCCCCGTTTGTCTCCTCAGCTAAACCCTGAGAGTAAAACCTCTCTGCCAGTTTGATGCACTTTTTGTTCATCTCTGTTTAATGACAAACATGTTTGTTTAAATTTTTTTCTTGTAGATCAATACGATTACTCGTAATTTGACAAAACAAAAATGCTGTAATTTTCTGTTTCTAAACTGATGCGACAGTTTTATTTACCATCCAAGCTGTACTCCTTTTTTACGAGTATCTTCTCTTTTTTTTCACTTCTGACCAGTGGATCAGTAGAGAAGCTTGAGGATGAGGAGGGAAGTGATATTCCTCTCTGGGCTGAGGAAGATGCCGCCTGCAAACCTGTGAAGGATTTTGAAAGATTTGTCGCAGAAGATAAATGTTCATGTGGCCTATTTTAACTTCGAATATTTACTGGCCTTTACCGTTTCCATTTGGAAGCTGCAGAGCTTGACTCTTCACTCTGTATAGCTTGAATTTATTCCCTGAACATGAAAATAATCTATTACAAACTTTAAGAGGTGTATAATAACTAACTGTTTTTACTTTGTTACAGTGCTTAACTCATTTTTACCAGGATTTGTAAATTTATTAAGTACTTTTTTGATTTTAACTTTTACTTTTGTCTCGTTACACTCAAAACCTAAAAATGATACTTTAACATCTTTACTTCAGAATTTAACACATCATTACACATTACAACTTTAAATAAGACTGGAAATCATCATGAAAGAAGTTGTTTCTTCATTTTCATTTATTTGACCAAGTTGTGTCTACTGGTTCCACTACACCAAGCTGAGTAAATTGAGCAATTTACACAGGTACATTTACTCAACTCAGTTTAGTAGAACCAGTTTGGTTAGGTAAATTCAACATTTCTCATCTTAGAGAGTGCAAAAGTACTTTGAATGTTACTTTTACTTTCYCAATTATTGTAAAGAGTTTTATGACTATTGTACTTTTCTTATCAGTGACATTTTTACTAAAGTAATTTACTGTAAAGGTATTTTTACATTAGTTATTTCTTTCAAGTACTTAATATACTTCTGCAGTGCAAAGCATTGCGTCACAATACTTGTTTCTTAATGCATAAACACGTCAAATGTAGGGACTTTGTGTGAAATGTGAATAAACCAGGTTTTGGTGACTTTTCACAAACTTGTATTTCACAATGGAACATAGTATTAAATATTTYTTTATGACCTTTTTACAGTTACTAATGCATATGCTCAAAGTCACRATGTAGATTTGCATTATGGTTAAATTTGAAGTTGTAAATGTGCCAAATATTTCCAAAATGTTTTTTTTTTTTATTTGAAACTACAATTTCTCTCTTTTGGTCCTAATCTAGATCTAACAGTGTTGGAGAAAATACATTAGGATATACAGAAGAAGACCTGCTCCATCGTTTGTCTTCGTGCGATATTCCAAATTCTTGGAGTTGGCTCCCCTGTCCTCACGGTTCCTCTTCTTACTTTGAGCAGTTTTCAGACCTCCTGAAGATCCACTGTCTGCTTTGGAACCTACAGCCTCTCGTCCTGTTAAAATCAATAACGTGGAACTGGGGGAAAAATCTGTTCTTATGAATGTGAAATCAAATAAAATGGTCACGCACTGGCCTGAAGGTTAGTGAGGAGTGTCTGCAGCTGGGGGTAGCTGTCCATGTTGTACCCTTTGGATAAGTTGTTCCAAAAAGCCTGGAGAGTGGATCTGCTCTGCTCTAACACCCAGGACAGGAGGGCGTACATGGCTTTGTGAATCCCTTCACTTCCCTCCTTCTCCAGTGTGTCCTAATGAAGCAAGGTGACTGTTTTTTTAATGAATTTACCCTAAAATCTTACAACAAAATGATATAGATCACAGTGACTCTAAAAGGTTCGCATTTTTTTCCCCACTCCTTACCTTCAGCAGCTGGTCAGGGATGATGTTTTTGTCTGCCAGGCCGTACACAATAGGGAAAGGGTCGTCCACAGCCATTGCGATGTCGGTGCGAAGCTCCCTCAGCAGGGAGCGAAGGTTGGTGTCCACGAACGCCTCCGCTCGGGACATGATCTGCTTCGAGTGAAGATGTGATACCAAGTGACCCGACCTGGTCTGAGAACAAACATCACGTCTTCAGGGTGCAGGAGGTGTGTCCTTCTCAGGAGAAGAAGTGCTGAACGACACCAGGGGATTATTAATGCTAATTAGACACTTTAACTAAATTTATTTCATTTAGTTTCTAGTTTTTGGGATATTTATCATCGTAGATGTGTTTGTATTAAAGTCTGTCTTCCCCGTATTTATTCTTCAGAAACCTTCACCATGACCACTGCTTGATGCACCAGAGGACGTCCATCCGTCAGGCCTCTGCTCAGTCCATTTGTCCACTAACGGCTCCAACTGCCTTCATCCAGGGGGATTCCTGTCCTCTTACATCAGACRAGCTCAGTGATCTGACGTGCCACGGTGACAGTTTTTCTCCTAAAAGGTTCTTTCCACCTCAACTTCCCCTCACCTATCAGGTTTTCATTCTGTGACTCACCACTCTGGGTCAGAGTGATTGCTTCACTCATCCATGGATGGAAAAAAAAACAAATCAGAATTGTAAACAATTAACTGATCCACACTGACTGCATGACCGGTTGGCTGCTATGCTGTCAGACCAGCTGTCCTAACCCTACAATGTTTGTTTTTGCTTAAATAAGGCTGAATAAAGAACTTTAGCATTATTTTAAATGCAATGTAGTTTTTTTGTGTGTTTGTGTGTTTGTTTATGTACAGGTGCTGGTCATAAAATTAGAATATCATGAAAAAGTAGATTTATTTCAGTAATTCCATTTAAAAAGTGAAACTTGTATATTATATTCATACATTACATACAAACTCATATATTTCAAATGTTTATTTCGTTTAATTTTGATGATTACAAATGACAACAAATGAAAATCTCAAATTCAGCATATCAGAAAATTAGAATCTTGTGAAAAGGTTCAAAATGGATGGCACCTGGTACCACACTCTAATCAGCTAATTAACTCAAACCACCTGCAAAGGCCTTTAAATGGTCTTTCAGTCTAGTTCTATAGGCTACACAATCATGGGGAAGACTGCTGACTTGACAGTTGTCCAAAAGACGACCATCGACACCTTGCACAAGGAGGGCAAGACACAAAAGGTCATCGCTAAAGAGGCTGGCTGTTCACAGAGCTCTGTGTCCAAGCACATTAATAGAGAGGCGAAGGGAAGGAAAAGATGTGGTCGAAAAAAATGTACAAGCAAGAGAGATAACCGCACCCTGGAGAGGATTGTGAAACAAAACCCATTCAAAAATGTGGGGGAGATTCACAAAGAGTGGACTGCAGCTGGAGTGAGTGCTTCAAGAACCACCACACACACAGACGTATGAAAGACATGGGTTTCTGCTGTCGCATTCCTTGTGTCAAGCCACTCTTGAACCACAGACAGCRTCAGAAGCGTCTTGCCTGGGCTACAGAGGAACAGGACTGGACTGCTGGTGAGTGGTCCAAAGTCATGTTCTCTGATGAAAGTAAATTTTGCATTTCCTTTGGAAATCAAGGTCCCAGAGTCTGGAGGAAAAGAAGAGAGGCACTTCATCCACGTTGCTTGAAGTCCAGTGTAAAGTTTCCACAGTCAGTGATGGTTTGGGGTGCCATGTCATCTGCTGGTGTTGGTCCATTGTGTTTTCTGAGGTCCAGGGTCAACGCAGCCATATACCAGGAAGTTTTAGAGCACTTCATGCTTCCTGCTGCTGACCAACTTTTTGGAGATGCAGATTTCATTTTCCAACAGGACTTGGCACCTGCACACAGTGCCAAAGCTACCAGTACCTGGTTGAAGGACCATGGTATCCCTGTTCTTAATTGGCCAGCAAACTCTCCTGACYTTAACCCCATAGAAAATCTATGGGGTATTGTGAAGAAGAAGATGCAATACACCAGACCCAACAATTCAGAAGAGCTAAAAGCCACTATTAGAGCAACCTGGGCTATCATAACACCTGAGCAGTGCCACAGACTGATCGACTCCATGCCACGCCGCATTGCTGCAGTAATACAGGCCAAAGGAGCCCCAACTAAATACTGAGTGCTGTACATGCTCATACTTTTCATGTTCATACTTTTCAGTTGGCCAACATTTCTATAAATCCTTTGTTTTTATTGGTCTTCAGTAATATTCTAATTTTCTGATATGCTGAATTTGAGATTTTCATTTGTTGTCATTTGTAATCATCGAAATTAAACGAAATAAACATTTGAAATATWTGAGTTTGTATGTAATGTATGAATATAATATACAAGTTTCACTTTTTAAATGGAATTACTGAAATAAATCTACTTTTTCATGATATTCTAATTTTATGACCAGCACCTGTATTACCTGCCCTAATCTTCTTTTCACTATGTGACAAGATTTTTTTTAATCCCATTTTTGAGAAATGTCAAAAACTGATCACATATCAGGTGGTTTCTTAGACTTATTTGGCAAAAATCACTGGAAAACACAAGTTCATTTTGTGACATATTAAATGCTCACTGCTCTTTACTTAAGCAGTAAGTTTATTCTTAATGCTTTGACCCAAGCAACTGCTATTTGCTCTGTACCTGATTAAAAGTTTTATTCTTATTCGGTAATAAAATAAAATCCAAAATAAAGTAAAGGCCTAGCAATCCTTAAAAAACACATGATAATATTAGACTTGGGTCGTTTAATGTTGGGAAATGTATCCTTTTTCATAAAACCTTGAAAAAAACTATCTCATGTCCTTATATTTATCAAGTCAATTTGTGAAAGATATTGTGAGATGTCTTTCTTTAAGTATGTATTACGTGACTTCTATCACAACAAATTTTAGCACACTAATTGTTAAATTGACTGAATTAATACCACTTTCATGTCATGTAAAATCAGCTGGGTGGAGCGTTCACCTTAAATGGGAATGGCTCCAAAAGTGAATCAATTGTAGTTATGAATCTTATGATTGTTGTCTGTAAGTTTCATTAAAATTCACGTAGTGATTCATGAGATATTTTGCTAACAGACAGACGGATTTTAAATAAAGATCATGCTTAGTCAGTGCTTAGAATATGTGTTGGGGATCAGTCTCAGCTACCAAGTGTTAGCTACCATTTATAGTGTTTTCTGAAGACATCGTGATGTGGCAGCCATCTTGAATCGGGTCAACTCATTTATCATCCAATGAGGACCGTCTGCGAGTTTCATTTGCCTGTAGACAGATGTACGCACACTCAAACACGGACATTATTATCGCTGTCCGGCGGCAGGCGCTGACTTCATCAGATCAGAACTTTTCGCGGCCAGGTGAATGTGGATGGTTAGGAGAGTGCAGCCCTTTAATCTGTAATTTATTAATCATTAAACATTATTACATTATTCATACTGGTGAACAAAGACCACTTCTACAGAGGGACATTCACAACATACATATTACATTATTATATACAGTGCAGTCCATTACAGTGGGTGGATATAAGTGTATCAGCGGGATGGAGGGATGGGGAGAGCGGAGGGAGAGCTAGAGGGAGGAGAGAAGGAGAAGTCTGAAGGTCATTTGACGGGGATGCGGGAGTTGTGAGAGTAAGCTGACGTTTCTTTTCCGTTTATAACCACAGTATAGTTTGCTCTATAAAAGTTAAACCCATAGAGAGATGAGCGTGTCACGTTTTTCACTGCTACTGTTAAGTGAACCTACTGGACTCCGGTGGGAATATCAAATGATATGAGTTTTGTTATGAGATGCTATAGAGAGATGCTATAAAACATTCTAAGATACTCGGCCTCCTCMCAGAGCGCGGGGACCCTGAAAGGGTGGGGCCAAAAGGTCAAAGATCAGAACAGCGTGCATGCGTGCTGCAGACATTCAGACGTGTTCAGCCACCTGCAACAATGGCTGACCCCCTTAACGTTTACCTCCATCCGTGTATTAGGCATAGTTTTAGGTGCTTTCCCTTTTTTTTTTCCAGATATAAAAAAATACAAAACATAACGGTGAAAAGAACTCTGTTGGTTTGTCCTCTTCTTCTCTTCTTCTCCCTTTCTGTGTTTTTCTTATCATTTATTGTTGCTTTTATTTTTATGGCAACATATTTTTCCCTTCATGTATTTTTTTTACTCCTCCAGTCACTTACATATTGACAAAGTTTACAATATCTTACAACTGAACAAGACTGAAAGATGTAACATTTGATTTGTCCAATCAGATACAAAGGCATTGATCCTATATGTCCAATTAGAGAAGTCAACCGGGAGCTAACCAGCATTAAGAAACACAACAAGCCTATGGTGTGAAAGGGAGCCGACCAATCGCAGCTCTGCATTAACACGAGCAGCCGCCCTCGGGGACASTCGGCTCGGCTGGTTTGTCCAGCTTGATGTCGATCACTGGTGGTAGTTCAGTTAAGAAAAACTCAAGGGATGAACCAGCGGTCAGAAACAAGGTGACTCCTAATGAGTGATTAGCTTAAGAGATACTGACAGGTGCTGAAGACTGAAGCATCTTCCAGGTTTTTACTGTTTTTTCTCTATTTCTTAAAGGGATCCCTGATTAGTTGTAACATAAGACTTTATTTGATAAACATATATTTTAACTGTAAAACGAAGACTGTAAAAATACTGTAGGCTGTTTAGTTTTGTAAATTTTTAAAAATATATTTTAACACGGATGGGGCCATTTTATTTAAACGCAAAGCATTCTGGGTAAATGATGATATGGATGAAACCAGAGAGTGTTGACAGAGAGGAGAAGGTAGAAATGACTCAGCCTGGAACTGAAAATATGGATGGAGGACAACAGAGCTGCTTCATGGAAGAAGAACCTCAGCTTAAGGGCTCGACACACGGGGAGCGACAAACTACAGCGATGAACGGCTGTCATCGCAGCCAGGGTGAAACCCGACACACGGGATGCAATAGCGATCGCAGCGTTGCAAATCACGCTCTTTCAGGTCGCTTGACTTCACGAAATTTGATTGGTTCTTGACTCTGAAGGCGGTTGTGCATTACGGACATGTAAACTAAACAAATCTTGCTATGCTAATGATATTAGAAAACAAACACACATCAAGATACCATTTTATGAGGAAAAACTTACCATAAACTTCACCCTGGTGCCAATAAATTCCCACAAAGCTTTTTAGTAATCACTTGGTGAAAGTGTTAGCTAACGACAGTGTGCAGCATACTCTCCTCTCATTGGTCAGTTAATGAAACCCTTGCTGATTGGTTGTACCCCAAGCTACAGCGACAAAAGTTGAACATTTTTCAACTTTCATATGTCGCGTCGCAAGCTCGCGTGTGCACGTGTACGTGTACGAGCGTGAAATTTCACATGCACTATTTTCGCCGGTCGCTTAGCTGGAGGAGGGCAAGCGATTGTCGCCTCACCGCACAGGCGCCATAGGAAATGAATGGAGAGCGAGCGACGTCGCCTCCCGTGTGTCGAGCCCTTTAGGCTGTTAGCCTTTGCACTAGCACTAATGCTATATTGCCTTATATGTATTAGCTCAGTGCTAGCGCAACAAACAAGCTAAACTGAGGTCCTCCATCCATATTTTCAGTTGCAGCTGAGTCATTTTTGCGTTTCCCTCTCTGTCATGTGGATGGAGGACCTCAGTGACGAGAGGAGAATGTGTAGCGCTGAGCTAATACATATATATGGTGATAGTGTCGGTGCTAGCGCAAAGGCTAATAGGCTAACCTGGGGTTCTTCTTCCATAAAGAGCCAATCGTCACATATTGTCTGAGATTAATCTTCAGGGTGGATATAGCTCACTAGCAGCCTCGCACAGAGGACCTATCCACGTCATCGATTACCCAGAATACTTTGCATGTAAATAAAATGGCCCCGTCCGTGTAATACATTTTTAAACTTTTAGTTTAAAAATGATAAAAACTAAACAGCCTACAGTATTTTTACAGTCTTTATTTTACAGTTAAAATAAATGTTTATCAAATAAAGTCTAATGTTACAACTAATTGAGGATCCCTTTAAAAATAAGGTTTTTAGATACTGTTACTCTCTTTTTTTCTTTAATCTCTAACAAAAACAATCCTCCATCCTCTCCTCGAGTCACTTCCCTGACAGCGGTTGTGTGGTGCTGCACCTTTGCATCTATATAAGAAACCCCTCCCTCTGTGCATTTCTTCCCCCTTAAACATAAACGCTTTAATGACTGATGCTCCTGCAGACAGCAGGCTGCTCTGTCTGCTGGCGTTAGTGCCAGCAGCCACTAAGAGATTAAAAATAAGCCGCCCATTTCCCAAGAATTCGCCTCTCGGCGCAGGCAGAGACTCAGAGTGGCTGTAAAGGATACTGCCTTCGGGATTCGCGTCGTCCAGGCTTTCCATGCCAGGTAGGGCTGCTGCAACTCTGCGAAATAGCTAAAAAGAGGAAAAACAAGGACGAAGTGTTAAAGTACAATAAAAAAATACTTTTTTGTTTGATTTCTAGAAAAGATATGCCAGTGTGTGAACCACGTTTTAACACAGACCATACATAAATTATGTGAAGTAAAAAGGTCAGTGATGTAAATATAAGTTTATTTTTTATAGAAAAATGTATCCATTTTTATTCCCTCCTACTACGTATATCTTCTGTTCCTTCTATTCTTCTACCTATATATCTTAATTTCACACCAAACATTGTTCACATTGCTGATCATATTTACAAGTAAATTATTTTTATCTATCAACCAATTTTGACAAATTGCCACAAAAATAAACAAAAAAATAACTGCCAAGAATGTGCTGTCAGCTGTCCAAAAGGCTGTGAAATGTGGTGAAACTGCCGGGGTCACCTGTTTGACATTGGAGCCCGTCTTGGCACTGGTCTCGATGAACATGACGTTCAGCTCTTTGGCTCTCTGCTCCCCTTCTTCGATCATGATTTGCCTGCAGGAAGATTTAGCCTGACTCAACATCTCAGGCGTCATGTTTATTTTCCTAAATCCTCCCAACTGTAGCTAAACCTAAGATTTAATTATGGATCAACATTTTTTTTCTTTTTTTCTTTTTTTACCTCTTCTCCTCCAAATCTGTCTTGTTGCCTACTAGCATGATGATGACATCACTTCCTCTCTCTGTCCTGACGTCGTCGATCCATTTGCAGGTCTGCTGGAACGAGTTCACATCTGTGAAAGACCAGACCATCGCTTTAGATCCTAACATTTCCACCTCTGTGACATTAAAAGCCACATTTAAATCAAAGTGTTTAGACAGGAAGTCATCAGCGGAGTCGTTTTGGCTCACTTGTGATGTCGTAGACAACCACAGCCACTGTAGAGTCCCGGATGTAGCTCGGAATGAGGCTCCTGAAGCGCTCCTGTCCAGCTGTGTCCCACAGCTGCAGTCTTACCTGCAGGCACGCACACACACATACAGAAACACACACTTTCAGCAGCTGTAACACAACACACAGGCTAGATATAAAGGCTTTGTGTGAGGGATAAGCCAGTATCAGCTGGCTGGGGATGATATCCCACAGCCGAAATAGCTTTTCCACTGGCTAAAGAAGATCATCCATGAGTGAGGCTTATTAAAGAAAAAAAACTCAGCGCACCAGAGCTCATATTCCCAGAAATACCCTTCAGATAATCACATTAAAGTGTGACAAAAGCAGTTATAAGGCAAATCAAATCAAGGATTAGTCAAAGCAGAGAGGAAACTGGGATATTTAAAGATGGTGGCTCGCTTTAAACTTGAAAATAGCATTATTATTTTTAAAAGTGACATGCAAAGGTTAAAGCACAATCAAGAGTTCCTACTGTTCGGTCTTCCAGGTACATGGTCTTCGATAGGAAGTCGATGCCAATGGTCGCCTAAGTGAGAAGAAAAAGGGAATAACTTCTAAGTAAAATTCAAACATTAAATTAATTTATGCACAACTTGTTTGCCGTAGATTCTTGTGTAATGAAAAACTATGAGCCTGACCTCTGAGAAAGAGTCAAATGAGTTCTAAGAAATCCCTAGAATATCTAYACTGTATGGATTATTATGATCAGTGGCATTTTTTTTCCTAGAATATTTGTTGACCAAAGATTTACTGAGCAAACCTGCTACACCTCACCTGATACGTGTTGTCGAAGCTGTCATACATGAACCTAGTGATGAGAGATGTTTTCCCCACTGAAACAGAACACAGGTGGATTTTTATCAGCTACAATTCTCAAAATTTCACGTTTACAATAAAACAGAGTCTGTGAAAAACTAGTGTTTTGGCACAACAACAGAAGAAAAACAAAATCTTAATCAAAATCCATTTAATGATTAGAGATCGATGATAAAATGGATCCACGTTCAGAATTATTATCACTCGCTGCCATAGGCGAAGCAGCTCCAATAATTTTTTATTGTTCTGTGTGTTTGTCCGCAACTTTAACAAAATTGCTTAGAAACCACATGATGGATTTTAAGGAAATCCGTAGGAATAATCGGAACATCTACAACTGATTTCATTTTTGAGTCAACCCTGTTCAAGATGGCTGCCACAGTCAGCAGATTGAATGAAACCCATTACTGGCTGTAACTCACTCAGTTTTACAGATATTGAGCTAAAATGTGGCGTTGTAGTAGCTGAGCTTCTTCCCCACCAGATCCTATGAGTACTATACTTTGCAGTGTTTTTGCCTTTAACTTTAGCTTTAACTATTGCCATCTGCAGTGACTGTCTGTTAGCAAAATATCTTACGAACCACTGGATTGATTTAAATGAAACTCTTAAAACTTAATCATTGGAGGTAAATTTACAACTGATTACATTTTGAAGTCAACCTCTTTCAAGATGGCTGCTTCACCAAAGTGAACCTATCAAACACAAAAATGGCTATGACTCAATTAATTTGACAAATATAAAAATAAATCTGGTGTGGTAGTAGATAAGAGTCATTCGCAACACATTCTGAGTGCTAACTGATCACACAAGATCTCTTTTTAAAATGATTCCAATTAGTGGAGGCAGCTGTGTCTGTCTGTTAGCAAAATATTGCATGAACTACTGGAAAATTTTTGCTAAAACTCTCAGAAGTAATCATTAGATGTACATCTGCAGCTAAGTAACTTTTTTGAGCAACCTAAATAAAAGTGGTCCAGTTAGCTGATAAGCACACAGCTGTAAGTTTTACAGATGTTGAGCTAAAATTTGGTGTGGCAGCAGCTGAGTTTGTTCAAGACATTGTCCCTTTTGTTTTGTGGAGGTGGGACTAATGTTGTTTCTGTTATTGACTAATCGAGTCATTGTTTCCCCTCCATCGCCTTTCGGTCCTTAAAAGCGTTTGCTGGAGCGCTGAAACGAAAACACAGCAGAGACACAGCACATTTGTCCTGAAACGACCGAGACGTGGATGAGAGGAACTCCGTGTTCTCCATATTACCTTTCATATTTGCACGAACGCCGCGTTTTAGCAGCGTTCTCCATCACATCTGTGCCTCTCCAGCTGCAACTGGCACTGACCACACCGGGCCTTGTTCCAGCACCATGGACAGCACCATTGCAGCACAGGCCACACACATACACACACCCCTCTCATTGCAYACACACCAATCCAGCTGCACACATTGTCATTTCCCCTAATTTATCATTTATATATACACATATATAATAACCCAGGAGTTCATTTGCTGCCACTTTGGATGATTTTCTGATTTTCAGAGCCAAACCATTATACAGTAGATAATCTATGTCTGAATGAGTCCCATCCCATCAAAACAGCTGGATTATTGAACATATAAGATAATGTGGTGCTGTCAGGCCTGCTTTTTCCTCTGTCATTATTGATGGGACCGAGCAGGAGACTGCGTGGTTTGAAGATGCCACAGACATCATCGCCAGTCTAGGGTGTGTCCCGAGCTGACACATGGGAGGCTGTTTGTTATCCTCTCTAAAATCAAAGGGGAGAAATAAAAAAAAAAACACTAAACTCGGTTGCACAACAGAATGAAGATATTAGAATTAAACGGATGTCAGAATAAACAGGTTATGTAGGAAACGGGTGGAGATTGTTTGACGGTCACTGCAGCGAGTCGTAACATTCATGCGATGCGAACTATGGCAATCTGCGACAAAACAAACAACCTTCGAGGGATTTTTTTTATTTGTTTCACACGTTTTAATAGTAATTTAGACTCTAGTGTGCGCAGTCGGAATCATCAGTTTTCACACAGGAGTTGTTGAAGCTGAGGTAAATACGTTTTCCTGTTCCGAGCGTCGCCTTCATCAAGGCCAAACACGATTTTATCCCGAATTTCACTTGAACTCACCAGAACCATGCGTGGCATTTTATTCGCCCCTTACACACGCACATGTTTGACAGCCAGTCCTCCAAACACACACACACATACACAGCCCTGACTCACCGCTCTGCTCGCCCAAAAACACCAGTTTAAATTTCCTCAGGGGGTTCCCCAAATCTCCTCCAGCTGACATGGTGGCAGACAAACAGCCGAACCTGGACCGGTGTTAATGAGTTTGATGTTATATTACTGTTTTTATTTTTTATTTTTTAGTCGTTCGGTGTCTCCGTTTTTTCCCCCTTCTTCTTCTGTGTGCGCAGGCAGGGAG